CCCAGAATCAGGATTTTAAAAAGATTCCCAGGTGATTCTAATGTGCAGCCAAGGTTGAGAACCACTGGTCCAAGGCTTGAACCTGTCCAAAACACTGTAGCCGCTCTCCACAGGAACATTAGTGATAGCCTGGCCAGTGCGGCTCAGTGGTTGAGCAACGGTTCGATTCCCAGGTTTCAGGCTCGATCTCCAGTAGGGGGCGTGCAGGAGGCGGCCAATCAATGATTCTCTCATCATTGATGTTCCTTCGCTCTCTCCCTCTCCCTTCTTCTGAGATCAATAAAAACATATTTTAAAAAACCATCTCCCCTCCTCTCTCTTTAAAAATAATAAAAAATAATAATAAATAAAATTTAAAAATAAGATGGGTCGGCAGGGCTGTGGGTGAGGCAGGGAACACCAGCAGTGCTCTGGGGCCGATAGTCTATTGGCCTACATTACACTGACGAGACGTTTAAAAATAATAATAAAACGATACATGAAAATGAGGTTCATATTAGGAAACCTCCCGGCCTCCAAACAGCAGGTAGGAGCTGTGGGGAGGGGGTGGGAACCGGCCACAGCGCTGCTGGAGGGACAGCCCTGGCGGTGGTGTTAGGGACTCCACATGACGCCCTGCTCTTGCGCCCCGTGGACTCTGCAACCCTTTGCTCGCCAGCCCCTCTTCCTCTCCCCCATTCCAGTCTCCCAATAAGTGGAATCCTCATTCCTCTCCTCTAATCAGGACAGGCACCTGCCTCTGGGAGGCGAGGGGAGGGAACTGCTGCGAGTCCTACGTTCTGGGTGAGGCGTCTGTGCCGGGAGCGGACCCAGGCCCTGTGCCGGGAGGCAGGAACAGGCCTCCAGCCCTGGCCCCCAGCTCAGGGCGCCCCTCACCAAGTGCCTGATGGAATCCCTGGCGCTCTGGGGCTGGACTGAGGGTGAGATGCGTGTGGGTCTAGGACCCCCCCTCCACCCTGTCCTAAGGTCAAGGATCAAAAGGGTCCAGAGACAACCAGGTGACTGTCCTCCGGGGACGCCCTCTGTGCCGGGTGCCACGCGTGGTCCCCTGAAGCCTCCCGCAGCCCTCGGTGCCGGTGTTCCCCATCCTACAGACACCGAGGCTCAGGGCTCGGGGCCGCCAGGGTTCTAGTCAGAAAGGGGTTGTCCGAGCCGGAACCTGGCTCATCCTACCCCTGAGCCGCGCAGGTGGGAGGGGGCTTCGGGGCCTCAGGTCCTAGGTTGGTGCCTGGGTTCCGAGGTCCTCGGGGTCCTGCCTGATGGTGACCCAGCTCCGGCGCAGGACAGGCGCGGGGCCAGCTGACAGGCAGAACGGCCCCTCCGCAGAGCCCACCCGAGCTCTGGCGTCTGCCACGGAGAACACGCCATGTCACGGTGCACTTGCCCGTCTGGCCTCTCTCCCTCTGCCTTCTCACCTGGTGCCACGGCCAGACCACTTCTGGGCCACCTGCTGGGCCTGGGATCAGAAGCCAATCGGCCTGGACAGGGATCGGGGCGATGCTGAGGCCCTGCCCCCTGGAGATGGCCCCTATGGCAGGCCCGGGGTGGCCAGGGCCCGAACCGCCTGTGTGTGGGCCGAACCGCGTACCTGCAGGCGGGTCCACTCAAAGGTGGTGCTTGCCTTGCGGGGGCAGCTGTCCAGTGCACGGGGAACAGGATGGCTCCACAGAAGGAAAGAAATGCAGTTCTTTTCATTAAGGACTTTATTTCTCTTTAAAAAACGACAGTGGTTTGATCTGGACACAGCAGCACTGCGACGTGTTCCACGGACACAGACCCAGCGCGGCAGAGCCCAGCCGTCATCCCAGCCACGACCCCCGAAAGGGAACCGCTGTCACTCACCCACGTCACATGTCCCTGAAGAAAGTAGGTCCTTTGGCTACGAGGGTTATTATTCTACCACCACCAACAGCCACTGAGCCCTTCCAAATGGAGCACATTTGCGTTTGGTCTATTACAACATGCCTCCTCGATGGCGATGGCCGGAAAGGCATCTAGATTCTTCTCGGGAACTGCCTTTGCCCGAGGGAGAGCCAGCTTTTCCGGTTTGACCACTGTCTGCAGCGCAAGCCTCGAAGGTCAGACCAGACGGGCACGCGGCCGAGCAGGGTCTGTCCCGTGGGCCCGCTGTTCAGACAGGAGTGAGCTCTCCGCCTTCCCCACTCACAGCTCCGAGCTTCAAAACTTCAAAACGCACCCATTTCACACCGTCTCTCGGCAACAGGGGCTTGAAGGCGAGGAGGCCCTGCCTCGGCCGGAGGGCGGGGCCTGAGCACGGGAGAGGCGCCCTCGGCAGGTGCCAGCTCTCGGGGACAGAGAGCACATGCACCAAGAGGACAGCGATGCCGGCCGCGCTCCGCTTCACCTCGGGGGACGCCTGCTCGTCCGTGGCCGAGGTTCCCCCTGGCGAGGCCGCGTTCCCTCCGCGCTGAGGTCTGGGTCGGCAGCCCACGCGGGAAAGTCGGTGCAAAATGAACTGGTGGCCTGAGCCTTTGGGGAAGGGACAGGGTGTGGAAGAGCAGGGGCTCCCTGGTGGGCGGGCTGCTGGGGCGGCAGGGAGCCTGGCTCCCGAGGCCAGGCCTTGCTAGGCGGCCACACCCCACTGGTGCCATCCACGCCACGCGTGTCCCCAGAACTCACGCCTCGTGTCCCGGCGGGCCGCGTGTGCCTAGAGCCGGGCCACGCTGCTGTCTTCTGCGCGGTGTGGCCTCCCCCCGACCCTCCAGGCTGGGTGTCCCTCTGTGAGAGCAGCTCGTGAGGAAACAAGCAAACCGGCCTGGCTGCTGGGGACATGGCCACCCTGAGCCACGGGGCCAGGGAGCCGCCCGAAGCTCGCGGCCTTGGAAGTGACGCTCCGGCCTCGGAAGCGGAGCCGATGTGGGCTGCGGGGCCTCCTCCGAGAGGGCGGCCGGGTCCCGTGACACCCCGTGATGCCCCGAGAGCTGGGGGGCGGGGGAGGGTGAGCACTCGTCCCCCATCCCATCGGGGACAGCAGCTCCTCTCCTGAAAAGTGGGAGCAGAGATGCCTCTGCAAAGACCCCGTCTCTCCTCGAAGGCACGACGTCCGCGGACGCAGGTGAGGAAATGTCACGCTTGGAGGAAGAACGGCTCTTCTGAGGGAGCTCAGAGGCTGTAGAAAAGATTAAACCCACTCACCGTCCAGCTACACCTCGTCCCGGACAGGTGGGTGGGTGGGAAGGTGTTGTGTTTTGTTGTTTTTTTAAATTAAAAAACACCTTTTTAAAAATGCCGCTATGGGAAACAAGTGGGGGTAGAAGGGGTGGCGGAGGGGGGAGGGTCAGGGACAGGAAGGGCCCGCGGGGACTGGGGCTCGGTGGGAGGAGGCCGGTTGTCAGGCCCTGAATTCGCTTCCCTTCTCTGGGGGAGCCAAGGGCCCCAAGGGAGAGAGGGCCGGCGGCCCTGACCTGTGTCCGTGGGCGCTCTGGGGACAGGCTCCCGCTACCTGAGCCACCAGGGACCTGCGCTTCCGTGGTCTGAGCTCTGGCCACACAGATCTGTGTCTCTCACCCCATGACAGACAGACAGACAGCGTGTGGGCTCGGGTATGAAGACAGGCTGCCTTCTCAGCACCAGTCCGTGTGCTAAGGGCTGGGTCCTGAGAATTGGGGGAAAGAAATGAAGCGTGGTGGCTGGTGAGTGTCCTCGTCATGAAGAAAGGACGGCCAGCAAGAGCTCGGGGACCTTGACGTACGGGCCGAAGAGTGTCCGCTTCCTGGCAAAACTGAACGTAGCTCTGCATTTGCCTTGTCTTCAGCCCACGGAGGGAAGTGGGGCAGCCTCTTGAGACAAGCCAGGTCTTGAAGAAACAACATGGCACATTGAAGGGATCGGCGGGAAGCCCACTGTTTCTTCTCTCCCATTTGTTTGTAAAATGACCTCAAAGTGCCCATCCCAAGGTCAGGCCCCTCTCGAGCAGCGGCCCCAGGACCATGGGCAAGGCTTCGGGACAAAGCCTGGAGACTGGTTGACATGCTCGCCACTTCCCCCCTAACGCTCACACCCAAGGCTGCCTGGGGCCCCTGAGCGATGTTTGCATGATCACACCTGAGACCCACCAATGGCGTGGCTCTCACACCCACGGGGCGTCAGCGGGACCGGCAGAGCCTCAGAACGCTGCAGATCTCTAGGTTTGGGGTGGAGCCTGGGACCTGCATTTTACAGGAGATGCCGGTGCAGGGCCCAGACCAGGAGAAACCCTGCAGCTGCCCTGGCTGGGCCAGGTCCCACTGAGGCCGACAGGGTCCCCGGCGACTCAGCCAGGGAGCAGGGGAGCAGGGGAGCACGGGAGCTGCAGAGCTCACCCTGTGCAGGGCATGGCGAGGAGGAATTGCTTCTGTCACCTTCTGGAGACAGCAGGGGGTCCAGCGGCTCCCTAGGACCAACGGCCATGCTCTAAAGGCCAGGCACTGCCTCCTGGGGCCACCTGTGCCCGGAACTTTGTGGTCCCAGGTTAGAGCTGGCCCCTGTGCCCCCTCTCCCAGGAGGTGACCGTGAGCTTGTCTTGAGCTTCTTCGGTGGCCCGGCCTCTCCTTGGGCAGCCATTTGCTTGGAGAGCCAACGCTGTCCGTACCACCTGGGCCCACGCATCTGTGGGGTCCCGGGCAGCTCTCGAGACCCTATGACCCCTATGACTTAAGGATTGTGCCCGGAGTCCCTGGCAAGCCCCTCCCCGCTCAAGACTTATTCAGGGTGACCCAGTGACCCCCCTTGGGCCATAAAAGTTTGGGACACGGGGGGCTCCATGATTACTCCTTATCATCCCTACGCTTCTCTTAGAATAAAACAAAAATCCCCAGACACATGCCTCTTGAAGACACACTGGCTTTACAGTCAGAACCTGCTTAGAAAGGAAGGGGCCCAGAGAAGATGCTGAAGGCGCCGGCGCGGCACACGGCCGTCTCGCAGGAGGAAGAGGGGGCCGGGGCCCAGGCAACGAGGAGACGTGTGGATCCCACGGAGCTGGCCCCAGGCCACTCCACGGGCCCCGCACAGGGCGTCCTGGCCGGGGGTGCAGTCCCAGGTGCGTCTCTGAGCATTTAATTCCGATTGTTCCAAGTGACCAGCGGGCGAGGGCAATGCCCGGCAAAGGTTAGAGAGATGGATGCGACCGACCCTCTCGAGGTGAAACGTGAATCGTTTTCTACCTTTAATAAAAACGTTTTCTCATTTGAGGCTGTGGAAGTCTTGAGTCACATTTTTTTTTGGTAAATCCCCCCCCACCCCGCCCCCTCTAAAATGTCTGAAAACACATGGCTTAACAGTGGCTGCACAGAAAATATACACCCTCAAAGTCTGACTTTCATTTAAATACAAATATACAAAATGTAAACTGAGGCGATAGAGAAATTTACAAAACTTTCCTTTAAAAATAATAAAGACAAAATTCAGTTCTAGTTATGATGCTATTAAAATACGTGCAAGTCGTCGTATCCGATTGGATTTCTATTGCAATAGTCGACAGAGACAAAGCCAGTCCGCCCGGCTCGAGGGCCGCGTCTGCACAGACCTGAGTGGCACCTGAGGAGCCCGAGGCTCCGTGCCGAGGGCGGCGCCTCCTTCCTTCGCCGGCTCCGGGCGGGCTGTCCCGTCCACCCATCCGGAGTGGACGCTCCGCCGGTCACAAGTTCTGCTTCTAAGGACAGGGTCTAGCCTGTCCCACGTGGACTCCAAGGCCAAGCGGCCACTAGCTGCTTCCGGTGGAGTTGGAGCTGACGTGGTTTGAGTTTATGTGGTGGTTAAAACTGGTCTTGGAGTTGGGCGAACTCTTGGAATTGTTCTGATGCTGGGAGAGTGGGCAGGGGAGAGGGAGAGAGAAAGCAGGTCAGTCCCGCCGAGCCCAGCGCTGCGGCCCGGGCGCCACTGGGGCCCCTGAACCTGAAGACAGGGCCGCGGGGCGGGGCTGCTGGCCGGCAACCGTGCTGCGTGCTGCCTTTTGCATCCTCCCTGCAGACCCGGCCGGACCCAGCAGTGGTTTTCCACCAGTTTGCCCCAGGGACACTGTCTGGAGGGAGACATTCTACAACAGGAGGGTGGGGGTGCTGCTGGCATCTGGTGGGTGGAGGCCAGAGCGGCTGCTGAGCATCACCCGGTGCATAAAGGACACCCCCCATGACGAAGAACTAACCCAGCCTGGCCGGTGTGGCTCAGGGGTTGAGTGTTGACCTAGGAACCAAGAGGTCCCGGTTCGATTCCTGGTCAGGACACATGCTCAGCTTGCAGGCTGGATTCCCAGCAGGGGGCGTGCAGGAGGCAACCAATCAATGATTCTCATCAGTGTTTCTATCTATCTCTCCCCCTCCCCAAAAGGTCAGTATGCCGAGGTGGAGAAAGCTTGCTAAAGGCCCTGCCCCTTCCACCCTGGGGCCCCTCAGCCAGTGGGTTTCAGGGGCTGCAGGCAGCTGCCTGCCCCATCTCCAGGCTGCTGCTGCCTCCCAGTTCCCGAGCCCCACACTCAGGTGGGCTCTGCATTCTGGTCTCAACCCCTGAGGACGTTCTGAGCCCGGGGTTTCCGGGCCGAGGCCAGGACCTGGGGGTGGGGGTTGGGGGGCTCTCACCTGACGCTTGAAGATTCTCTGGACAGCCCT